TGGCCTGTGACCTGGGTTAGAGAGGATTCCTGGCTCCTTCAGAAGATCGGTCAAGGCTGAATGGTCCTGGACAAATAAACACCAGGAGCTGAGTGGGGGGCCTGGGCAAGGAGGTCCCGCGACTCAGAGGTGGCCCCTGCACTCTGCTCCGGAGCTGAGCATCCCAGACGCAGCGCTTGTCAGCCCTCTGCTGGCCTGTGAGGCCATGTCGTCCTTTCACGTTTCCCAGCCCGGATTTCCAAAGTGCGAGGTGAGCACAGGCTGCTGGGTAGCTGGTTGGTGCTGGTCTGCATGTGAATCACGTCAGGATGGACTCCGCTCAGCCAGGAGAGTTTAGACTTGCTGGCTGGAGGCTCTGGGCCCAGGATTCAGCAACCTCCCGTTTGCTTGCTCCAGCATCTGTGCTGTCCCAGCAAGGGAGGGTGGACTGTGCAGAGGTGACCCTTCAGCAGCAGTGATGAGGGTGCCCTTCAGCGCCGCCTTTGCCTCTGGCCTTCAGGAAAGATGGCTGTACTTGGAACCGGCAGACACAGGTTCCCAGCAAGGCCTCTGAGCTTGGCCTGGGCCCTAGACTGATGGGCTGCATAACCTCACGCTCACCGTCTGAGAGCTCTGTGGCCTTGGCTCAACCTTTCTGAGCCTCGGACCCCTCATCTGGGAAATGGGTGTGAGAGTAGTACCTAAGATACCACACAGATTCAGGTGCTAGCCACAAGCATTGGCCTGCTGAGTACTGGACTTAATTTTAGCGAGTGAGAATTCTTTCTCTCTGAATGTGGAACAGAGCAAGTGCTTCAAAGCCTCAGTGTTCCCATCTGAAAAAAGGAGGCCATCACTTCTGGCCTGCCTAATTCCAAGGGGTGCTAGGAGGTTCTCCTGTAAAAGTGGGTAAGGCTCTGTGCCCAGGTGAGGAGTCTTCCACTCCTACCAGGGAAGACAGGTCCTGCTCTTCCTGGTTTGGTGCTCTGGGAAGGCCCAGCCTCCTATGCGAGCCGAGATAGGTTTATTTGCCAATTTATTGGGTAGGGAGGAATCTACTGTAGAAGGGACTCCAGAGTGGCCCGTCCTCAGCACTACGGAAATAGTTCCCATTTATCAAGCTGCTGCCACTTCCCCAGTGTTATCTGGAGCGTAGAGTAGGCATGCTACCTCAGAGCCAAACCCAGCGGCCAGCCAGCCAGGTGACAAGCCCAAGGTACCGGGGAAAATGCTGATTGTTCAACAGCTGCTTCCACCACCAGCCACTGCCAGCCCCAGTGTGAGGATGTGGGAAACAAACCAAGCTGTTTCTCCTGTCCTCTCACTCAGCCATCAGCCCAGAAGACTTGTGTGACCTCTGGTCACCTAGTGTGTGGGGATTCTGCCCTAGAGCGAGCAGGCAATTTTGCAACAATTTTCCTTTAGATCACTTCAATTCTGATACTGTCTACCCAGAGACAGTGCCAGGTCCCACAAGTTAAAGGCTCCGGCCCCAGCCTGCACCCTCACCTGGGAATCTAATCTCAAGCCCCACATCATCTCATCTGTCCTTAATCTTGTGGGTGCCCTAGTGGAAGAGGACCGACCATTAACAGCAGAGACAATAGCCGACACCATAAACCATAAACGTTCTGTTGGTTCAGCTTACCCCAGCGCGGCTGAAAAGTTAAAGTCGCGCAAACATTCTGCTCCGTAGGGGTCAGAACAGTTGCACCCAGGTCAGCCGCAGAGGAGACAGTGCTCTCGATGGACATTTCTTTTAAAAATTATTTGTCTCATTTTGTGTATTATTATTGTTTTAATTTGCTATAGGGCAAGTGTGCTCGCCAGAGAGGGACACACAGAGAGAGGGAAGGTGAGAAAGCTAGTCGCCAGGTCTGGGACTTGAGCCGATAGAAAGTTTAAACAAGTGGGATAAAGCTCCTGAGGCATTTCTTCAGAGAACCGTAGCAAGAGGGGACCGTGGCTTTCCCAGCAGGACCCTGAAGACAAAGCGCAACCAGAGTAGCGCTACCAAGAGGTGGAAGTTGTGCAGCCACGGCAAGAGCCGATCATTGAGAGCAGAGCAAGAGTTCTTCCTTCTTTCATTTCATTTCAGGATACTGTCTTATTAACTAATTCATTAATTGCATTCAGTCACTGTGTGTTGTTGCAGCACACCAGATGAATTTTCCCATCATGAATACACTTCATATTGGTCCGGTCCAAGACATTAGAGTGTTTTGGGCCACTTATGGCATTTTGCTTGTTGCCTTTTTGGAAGGCCAATGAGCTATAACATCTGCTTATGATGAGAGTGTTTTGAGAAAGTTCGCTGAAGCTTTAGCAGAGAAACACCTGGGAAAGCTTCGGCAGAGCATCCGTCTCCACCACAAAGCTCCTGCTCCTTCCTCTCATCACGCAAGGGCTGTCCTGAGCATTCCCTGGGAGCTCATTCAGCAACAACCTTACAGCCCTGATTTGACTCCTTCTGATGCCTTTTTGTGTCCTAATCTTAAAAATCTTCTAAAAGGCACCCATTTTTTGAGACCAGCAGATGGCAAAGCAGTTAGGTCACTGGACTCCCATGTAGTCGATTGCATTTCGAGTCCCTGACCCAGCGGCTTAAAACTTACGCTAGGCACGTGTGTGAGCATGCCCAAAATCCTAAGAGGAGAATGGAGAAGGGATTGCGGTGTGGCCATTCCCTCCCCCCAGGGGGGAGTTCTTTTTCGCTTTCTGTCTCTCTGTCTCTCTCTGTCTCTCCAGCGAGCACATGTGCCCTCTAACAAAAATCTCTCCGAAGGAAAGGAAGAAAGAAAGAAAGGCACCTGTTTTTCTTCAGTTACTAATGTGAAAAAGACTGTTTTAACTCCGGGACCCTCAGCTCCTTAAGCGGGGAGTAAATGGCTGGTGTCAATCATTTAGAACCGTATTCTGAGCTCAATGGAACTTATGTTGAGAATATAAAGTTTATATTTTTATTTTTGTTTTTTAATTTCATTTCCCCTCAAACTTTTCGAAGTCTCTCATAAATCATCTTATCACACAGTAACATAGCTATTGTAAAAAATGCTGCCCTAGGTTTACAAATGGGGAAACTGAGGCTCAGAAGATGGTGACTTGCCTAAAGCCACAAAGGCAATAGCCCAGAATCTTTAGTGTGTCTGAGATGCTAGCACAGATGGGGCGGCTGGCCTCTGGTGAGGTGAGATGCCTGACGTGGGGACCCAGGCAGGAGCTGCAGACCCGGCCTTGGCCCCTCAGACTGCATCCTCTACTCTTTGGGCCTCTTGTTTCCCACAAAGGACATGAGGGAATGGTACTATCAGAGGTCACATGCTAGCTGCTAGTTTTAAAAAATTGTTTTGGGGGCCAGCCAGTGGCAGGGAGGTTAAAGCAGCTGGATCCCATATAGCTGACTGCATGGTTCAAGTCCTGGACCTGGCAGCGTGAAAAACATGCTGGGTGTGGGTGCATGTTAGCCCAGAATCCCAAAAGGAGAATGGAAGAGAGGAGATTGCTGTGTGGCTATCTTCCCGGGGGAGGAGGCCCCTCTCTTCCCCTCTCCCTGCCTCTCTCTTTCTGGTGAATGCATAAGCCCTATAGGAAAACTAAAACAAAAACAAAACTATGTGTGTATGTGGTTTAAGTTTATTTCGTTATTTCTTCCATGAGAGAGATACAGGCACCAGTAGAGTCCTTTTGCCATGATCCACTCCCGTTTCACCCAGCCCTAATCATGGCACACGTACACTCAGTGTGCTCAGAAAGAGTCTAGGACACAAACCAAGGACCTTTCTCGTGTGGGTTCAGTTGAGTTACTGCTGCGCTACCACTTGATTTTCAAAAAATTATTTGAATACCTTTATTGTTACTTATTTTAATTTTTGAACAGGTAATACAGTCACATAACTCAAAATTCAAAAGGCATAAATGAGAATGCAGCAAAGCCCCTCCTTCCCTGTGCCAGTGTCCCTCCTCAGAGGCAACCACTGTTAGAAAAGTTTCTGTAATCTTCCAGAGGGAATCTGTGTCCTTCCAAATACACGTGTGTATCTTCCCTCTGTCCACGTTTTTTTTTTTTTTGAGAGAGAGATTTTTGCTATAGGATGTGTGTACTCACCAGAGAGAGAAAAACAGAAAAGACAGAAAGTGAGAAATCATCCCCCTGGGGGACTGGCCCCGCCGCAATCCATTCTTCATTCTCTTGGGATTTGGGGCACACAGGCATATGCACCCGGCATGAGTTTTAAGCTGATAGGTCCAGGATTCGAACCATGGTCAACTATGTGGGAGACCAGTAACATTGCCATATGCCCTCTGCTGGTCCCACCTCTCCCCACTTTTTTTGCACATATAGTAGCATATTCTACCCTTGTCTTACTCCTTACGTTTTTTTTTTTTTTGGAGAGGTTTTTGTTATAGGGCAAGTGTACTCACCAGAAAGACGGAGAGAGACAGACAGAAAGCAGGAAATCACCAACCGAGGGGGATGGCCACTTCACAGTCTCTTCTCCTCCATTCTCCTCTCGGGGTCTTGGGCATGTGTGCACACGTGCCTGGTGTGAGTTTAAAGCCACTGGTTTTGGGACTCGAACTGCTGTCAACTACATGGGAGTCCAGCAACATAGCCATTACGCCAACTGCTGGTCCCAGCTCCTTACTTTTTTCACATAAAGTTGGGAAATGTTTCAAGATCATTCTTTGCCCACCAAGAGTTTGGATTTCTTGCTTAGTGGCTGCATAGAAATTTGAAGCCTTTACACCAGGTTTGACTCTCTGGAACGCTGGCCACTGACCCCACTCTGCTGTGATGTTTACACCCAACCTCAGAAGTGGCAGAGAGAGGGGACCTCTGAGGTCACTTAGAGTTGTGGCATCCTGTCCATTTTTTGTCTTTCCCCCTGATCCTTAATGTTCTCCAACCAGGCTTTAGTGACCTTTCAGACCTTAGGGCGTCAGGGTAGGGAGTCGCCAGCTCTCCCAGCCTCCATTGCTGCTCACCTACCCCATCTCCGTTTCTCTCTCTGCCCCAATAGTGGCCATTGTCTCAGAGGATGACTTCCATCACAGCTCAAACTCCACCTACAGAACTGCGAGCAGCTCCCTCCGGGCTGACCAGGAGGCCCTGCTGGAGAAGCAGCTGGACTGCCCGGCGCCCAGCCTGCAGAGGCCCGAGGACCGCTACAGCAGCACTTACATCATCTTCTTCAGCCTGGGTGTGGGCAGTCTCCTGCCCTGGGGCTTCTTTATCACTGCCAAGGAGTACTGGGTGTTCAAATTCCACAACTGCACCAGCCCGGCCGCAGGGGAGGTCCCCGAAAACTCAGACATCCTGGTAAGGCAGGTCTCTCCCGTGAGGCAGGTGGACCAAGCCGGGGGGGTGGGGAGGCGGTGCTGAACTTGGGCCTACCCTTCCAGGGAGGATTGTACGTGGTGAGAGTGCGGAGGTAGGTTCAGAAGTTGTGTGCAGCCAGGTAGAGAGTTCTGTTCGGTCCTAAAACACGCTGTGTTGGGTATGAGGCTGCGTACCTCGTGTGGCAGTGGGCGGTGGGGGTGGACCCCCTTCAAATTCATTGCTATTTAATTTGGAGAGAAGAGGCAAGTGATGAGTCTGTGCAGTGTAACATGGGAAACCCAAGAATCTAGACCCTGTGCTTCTAGGGGCTTAGCATTTAGTTCAGCTGTGAGTTATAGGCAATTCCAGTAGTGGCTAAAACAAGATGGAAGGTCATTTTTTTCCTTCACATTCAAGTCTAGAGGGGCCATACTTCTATGCTGTTCTAGGGTATCAGGAACCCAGTTACTCCAAGGTCACCTCGTAGTCCAATATGACTCTTGGGGGTCCAGCCCGTATATTAGCAGGAAGATGGAAGAGGAGGGGAGAAGAGAGCATGCTGTGACCTGTAGGAATATTCCTGGAAATAATACACTTTGCTTCCGCTTACATTGCATTTTTTAAAAGAATGATTTTATTTATTATCATTCTTATTTTTTCACGAGTTCATCAGAGGTAGAGAGAGAAGGAAAGTGCAAAAGCAAGCTGCCAGGTCCAGGACTTGAACCGTGGTCAGCCATGTGGGAAGTCTAGCGCCACAACCACCTTACCACCTGCTAAAACCAGTCATGTGATCATGCCAACTGTAAAGGAGGCTTGGAAGTGTAGTCTTTAACTGTAGCTTTATCCCAGAGAACCATGTGCTTGCTAAAACGGGAGTTTCTGTAGTTGTGGAAACCAGAGGAAAACGAGTCCCTAGAATAAGCAGTCTGGTCATCGGGGCTGAGATTACTGTGACTTGGAGTGGGTGGATTTGAAGACCAGGGAGGAGATATTCTATGTTGAAGAAGAGGGTGAAGGCAGATGGGAGGAAAGCTCAGGTGTGTATGAGGAACAGTGAGGCGCCCAGTTTTGCTGTCTTCGGCTGCAGTAGAGAAATAAGCCTTGAGAGAATCACTCGGGTCTTGAGGGCATTGCCTGAGCCTTGAATGTCCAGGTAAAGAATCTGACTTATGTTTGGGTGACACCGAGGCTAAGCCCCCTCCCTTTGAACCCAGGGCTGCTCACTTTGCTAGGTTATCTCTTGGGGAAGAGGAGAGTGGCAGGGGAAGAGAAAGTTATTCTGGGGCCAGTCCTGGGCCTAGTGGATAAGGGAGCTGGATCTCCTGTGACTGACTGCATGGTTTGAATTCTGGCCCTGGTGGCTTGAAAAACATGCTGGGCCTGTGAGCATGTGTGCCCTAAGTCACAACAGGATGGAGAAATGGAGGAGAAGGGACTGTGGTATGGCCACTCCACATGGGGCGTGGGGGTGTTGTCTCCCTCTCTGTCTCTCTCTGATGAGTGCATGTGTGCATGTACTCTCCAACAAATAAAGGAGAGAGAAAGTCATTCTAATACTTGTTAAAACAGTAAGGACAACTTTGAGACTATTGCAACTGGAGACGACTGGAACTCTGTGAAGGCCCACTGGGGATCAGGGTAAGGGGGTACGTGGATAGAAAATTACTTGGAGGAGACATCAGGGTAGGGGGATTCTTGCCAAAAAGTCAATCAAAAACTTTGATATCAAAGGTGAGGAGATGAGGTACTTGATCAGATGTCGAGGGACGTGAGGTGCAAGGACAGAGAGTTCTGGCTGATCTGACTTAGCAGGACGCTGTGCTAAGGCTGTGTTAGACAGGGGCCAGGGTCGAGACCTCAGTGAGAAGGGGCTCAGAGCAGCCTGCCTGCAGTTTGGCCAAGGGAGTCTTTGTCAGGAGCCTCAGTTTCCACGGCTGATCCAGGCTGGTGTCTACTGGGTGGGGGATGCCCCACAGTGCTGGCCCCAGAGGTGTGTTCCTCCTTCAGGGGTGCCCTCAGGGACAAGAAGAGGAACACTAACATGTCCCAATCCCTCAACGGGCCCTACATGTAGCTCCCCACCCCTTCCCTGAAAGCCCCTTTGAGATCCTTGACCCAACCCCAGGGAACTTTCCTCATTTTGTATGCCTGGACCTGACCGGTTAAACAAGCTGTCTCCACAGTCTGTCTCAGGGCCCACATGGCTACACACTCAAACCACCCAGGGAGCTTTTAAACAAGACACACTGGGCCACACCCAGGATTCTGACTGAGTTAGAGTGAGGAGGAATGTGGATATTGGTATTTTATAATTGCCCTCCCACACTCCTGCAATACCCCATGATTCTGATACTTTATAGGGCCTTCTCTGGTAACAGGGATCCATGGATGTCTCCAGGGCCAGACCACTGGGGCATTTGATGGGGTATTATAACTCCTGAGGGAATGCAGTGTTAGAGGCTTGCTACTCGAGGCGTGGTCTGTGGACCAGCAGCCTCTCCGGGAAGCTTGTTAATACGGTCTCCGGCCGCATCCAGGCGCACTGAGTCAGGGTTATGAAACCCCTCGGGCCCAGCAGCATGGGACTAGCTAGGGCCCAGCCTCTAGTTCCCATCCTGTCTGCCTCGTTTTCCTGGAAAGTAAGTAGGATAATACTACCCCAGCTTCCTAGGACTGTGGGGATTAAGTACCGTCATCCCTCCGTATCTGAGAGGGATGGGTCCCAGGATCCTGTGGGCACCAACCTCTGCGATGCTCAAGGACCTTCTGTAAAGTGACAGCATTTGCATGTGACCTGCATTCATCTCCCACATACGTAAAGTCACCTCCAGGTTACATAGAATACCTAATACCATGGAAATCATTGCTCTGCTGTATTTTTTAAATTTGTATTTTTTATCACTGTAGTTTTTTTTTGTATTTGTTGTCATATATATATATATATACATATATATATATATACATATATATATTTGGAGAGGTTTTTGCCATAGGGCGTGTGCACTTGCCAGACAGACAAAGAGAGACAGACAGAAAGCGAGAAATCACCCCCAGGGGGGATGGCCACGCCGCAATCCCTTCTCCTCCATTCTCCTCTTGGGATCTTGGGCACGCATGCACACGCGCCGGCGTGAGTTTTAAGCCACCAGGTCCGGGACTCGAACCGCAATCGACTACATGGGAGTCCAATGACATAGCCATTACGCTAACTGCTGTTCCCCATTGTTTTAATATTTTTGATCTGAGGTTGGTTGAATCCACAGATGTGGAGCCCATGGGTCCAGAGGACCAACTGTAAATTTGCATGTGCTACAAGCACTTCGAGACAAGGCCTGGCCTCACTACCCGAGGGGCTGTGTACACATTATTGTCATGATTACCATTCGGATAATCTGGGCTTCTGGGCTGCATGCAGCCGTGGTGTACTTCCAGACGTGCCGCTTAGCTGGGGTGCTTTATGATCCACTTTTATGTACCAGTGACTCAGGCATCCCAGCTTTCTGCCAGCCTCTGTCAACACCCCGCCTGTAGGGCTTCCTCACCAGCAGGCTAGATTGTGCAGGCACCTGCCCTGCCCCTCCTCTGCCCACCACCCTGGCCCAGGGGAGCAGGCCGCACAGGAGGGAGAGGAAGCCTGGCCGGTCTCTGGGAGCACGGTGGCCGTTGTTGCTATGAGCCGCTTTCGCTGCAAGTCGGTTCCTTCCCAGCTGCAGGCACTTAGCATTCCAGGCCCTGCTATGATGCTTTATTGCCTCTTTCCAAGTGCTGGCAGGTGCGGATGCAGCACCTGCCGCTGCCCGGAGCTCCTGGCTCTTGGCATCGGAGATGAGAGACCTGTCACCCCTCGATTCATGGGCCAGGTCTGGGAAGCAAGCATGCTGGGGCGTTTCTGCAGTTTGCGGGCCATTTTTCTTTGCCTCATTCCTCATTCCTGCCACCCACCTCCCCAGTTCTTTTCCCTGTTCTTCCTGATTTCCCTGCGAGAGGAGAGGCACTGCCCGGTCACAGAGGGCCGCTCTGGGGGAGTCAGATGCATCTGTCTCCAGCCGCCACCTGCAACTCAACTAGCTGTGAGGCTAGATTTTTTTTTTCCATCATTTTCCTTTTAGTATTTTTCAAACATGGATGCCATCCCATGGGGATGTTTGTAGACAAACCCCTCCCTAGTTACGTCACTCTCAAGGTCACCTCCCATCCTAGGCTCATTTCCTTCTGCCTGGACTAATTTGAAGATGGCTTAAAAAGCATCCTGCCTGCCCTCTTCTGTTATCTGGAACAAGAACCTTGAAACAATTTACCACAGGCTTCTTGGCCCAGGGCCAAAAAAAATTAGAGCAGAAATGAGGAAGCATTGATATAAAAAGATGGCGCTGGGAAGGAGACACGTTAGCCGCCATTTTCTGAGCCCAGCTCTGGTCTCACCTACGGGCAGGGGCATGACATACTTGCCTCTTGTTAACCCTGCAAGGCAGTTCTTAGTAATCCTTTTACTAGACAGAAAAGCTGTGCCTCAGAGAGGGTAAGTAACCGGTCTGAGATCACACAGCTAGGAAGGGCTGTAGAGAATTTCGTGGAATTTAGGTGGGCAGAGGATTACAGAATGACCATATCGAGAGTGGTACGTGGAGGACTGGCCTGGAGACAGGGACCGCCCCACACCCTGACTCCAACAAATGCCATCTTTCTTCCTATGGAGAACCTACCTTTGGACTGGCCTCCTTCACTGGCCTGAGCTCCAGGTACCTGAGCTCCAGCTCTGACTTCAAGACACAGGTTCCAAGCTATCAGTGTCCCTGTGCCTTCCCCAACCTGCCTCTGTAGCCCGAGGTGCCCCCCGGCTCTGTGGACTAAAAGCTACCCCTCATCCCAGAGACGAGAGTGCACCCCACGTCAGTCCCGCCAAAGGCCTCTGCAGCCCCTCCCTGCACACTTTCCCACATGACGTGGTCTACTGGGCAGAGTCACAGTCTGACGTGGTGTCCAAGCCTGGCCATGTG